CTGCAGCCACTTCTCCACCTGAGCCTCTTGGCCTCGCTCAGCAGAAGTGCCTGGGAGCCGAGTCAGGGCCGATGTCGTGGAGGGAGCAAGTCGGGGCATGAGACTCATCGACCCAGCCTGTTGCGTTCACAAGCTGTTCGACCGGAATCGCAGTGATTGTTAGGAAGAATGGACACTGAGGTGAATGATATATATATATATAATTACATGTGTAAGAAATGACCAGAAGATTGGTATTGACATCTCTTTTGCTATTCCCAACAGCGGCTCTTCCCTCTCTAGTTCACTGACATCAACGGCAAGTTCAATAGATGGTACCAGGGCACCTCAAACAGTCAAACAGGTACCTCTCTGGAGAAAGAGGCGATTTGAGTCTTTCAGAAGAAGCTTGTGGGTTTTGGAGGGCTTTGGTGGCCAGACTGAGGGCTTTGCATCACACAAAAAATAGTATGTAATGAGAAGCTCCACACCCCGAGATATCGACACCCCGAGCCACACGTTTTCCCACCATTTTGCGGTCTGCAGCACCCAGGATGGTGGTGTATGTGATCTCGTTCCTGAGACCACGAGGGCGGGCCGCTCAGGAAGGTGTTTGGGTTGCGACGTCCTGAAAGCTGCCTGAATTTAGTTGGACATCCATGTGCACAGTGTCTCAGGACATCCACATGGTGTTGGATACAGAAGGCTTTGGCCTTTGGTCTAAGAATACAGAAGGCTCCGAGTCCAAAATGACTGGGAAACATGGAGCAGGAAAAGGACCCTTCACTTGCACCACCTGAGTCTCCACTGCTGTTTCGTGAATGGCCAATCCATAGATCCGGATGAACCCCTGACCATCCAACCACATTCGAGCAGCAGAACCCTGCAGAAGAAGTCAAATGCGCAGCTATTCAAAGGTTTCACACGCAGTCTATTGACTTTCAGTTGCATATTGTTAGCTACCTCAATGAACACCTCTTCGTGTACGAACCCTGAGTGCTGGAGAGATGGAGAGCCTCACATTGAGGAAGCTTAATGATCGAGGAGATGAGGCCCGTGCCCTTGACCGCTTTGGAGGGTTTGGTCACTCGTTCTTTGGAGGGGTATTAAAACCCAATGTAAACTCTTTTCTTAAAAGAGCTGTTACGATCCAAATGGGGGGGGGTCATAAATATAACTAAACACCTCCACCATTTGGACCAATCCAGAATCCATCAATATAAAAATATATATATATTATATTATATGATATAGACTCGTAACTCGTAACCATTAATTCACCAGCTGTACACCGTAGTCTACGGTCACACCTCCACTCCACCCGGGCGCCCCGTGTCTCTTTCACCAATCGGGCGTCGGCGCTAGCCGCGCTCGCCGCATCTGCTGCAGGTAGCGCTCCACGCGTGGCTCGAAGTCTCGTTTCCGCACCAGACCCTTCAGCAAAGCGTTGTATGCCTTAGGCCATCCCTTTTTCTGCAAAAACTGAAAAACAGAGGGGAAAATGGAGTCAAGGCCTGATAGTCAAGGACCAACCGGGACCCTTTGATTTTGTTTTGGGGGTAGTGGTATTTGTAGGTGCTTGCTTTGCTGGCTGGAGTTGTTCAGAAACATGGAAAATCGCGACAGGATCACACAGGGTGGAGGTGGTAGAGTCGAGTCCAGTCACTTCTCGCAAGAATTGGTTGAACGAACTGTGGCCGTGAACCAAGTCCAATCGTTCACATCACCAATGACTTCACTCATCTTCAATCTAAATACTGTATATATATATATATTATATCTAATTGTATAAATATATATGTATATATAATCTTCATGTCGACTGGAAAATCACAGTGTAGGAATTGACATAGAGTGTCCGCTTCATATCCCTGTAGCAGAGTTGCCACTCAAAAACACGGTTCCTTGAAGATTTGGGCGCAGAACGCACATTCCCTTGCAGGGCGGACGAAGAATCCCCGAAAAGATAGAAAAACCGAAAAGCCCCAACGGCAGGACAATGAGAGAGCAGACTGTAAAGTCTTTTCTATCACGAGCTACTGGGCATCCACCACTGGCGTCTCACCTCGGCCCGCCCACGCGCCACTCGCTCTGTCCGTCTGCCCAGGGCGCCGCCACATCACCTCGGTGCCCTTGCGAGTCCGCTCTCTCAAGCAGTGCCTCGTGGGCGACGGGGTCTGGTGTGGACCAAATCCTTTTGAGCCTCAAAAGGCCAAAGAACATTCACCGAGAATGGGATGGATTGATCGGGGGTACATTGAATAGTTTTTGGAGTACGACCAGGTCGGTAAACGTGAGTTCCATGGGATGGTGACCTGGTGGTGAGTCGAACGACGGCACTCACGGTGGTGCTGTGTGATTCCTTTTTGATGGATTTTGATGATATCAATCTTGTCCTTCGATATGATTGTCTAGATAATCGGATCAGACCCCATACACTCAATACACTCTGGGCCGTCATTGCCTCTGCAAGCGCCAACTACCAGCACCATGATAGGTCCAGAACATAAACAGATTAGCATTTGTCTACCAAAAAACATGATTGTTCATGCTCCTCTGTGTTGCTTGCCTAGTAACGCCTAGTACGGCACTAAAGGCAAAGGAAATGGTCCCGCTGACAAGATGGACCAAAGGTTTCACGCCCCATCTTTGCGCTGCACGGGTGAGAGACTTACAGTCAGCTTGAGGAATTCGTGTCTGAGTGTCGGAGTGTGGGCCCGTTTGATCATTGATCGGAACAAGGAACACGTGGTGTTACGCGCGGGCCTGATGGTTCTCCTATTATTCGTCAATCCTCATGATATCATGATGGCATCATAATTGGAGGAGGATTCAACATGACAACCCGGCTTTGACCAGCTAACAGCTAACATTCCCCCTCACTTTTGCATTGAAAAAACAAGTACAGTTCACCCTGAAGAATCAAAGATCCTTCCCCTCTTCCCGAAAGATGGTCGCCTTCCGAAAGCCATCCAGCCGCCTTCGCAGCCGTTTCGCCGCCGGACCCGCTCACTGTTTGGCCCCCGCCTCGGCCCGCTCGCAGTTGCCCGCGTCGGCAAAGGCGCCCAGCACCGAGGTGTAGGCGAAACGATCCAAGGGACGCCCCTCGGCCTGTGGCCCCAGCGACCGGGGAAATCGGGAGGTGGAAGGGATCCAAAAGATCTCCAAGCTAGTAGCTTCTTGTTACTAGTAGCAATGCCCTTGTTCCTAGTAGCT